TCAATAAAGCTCATGCTCCTGGCTTTAGGAGAAATGCAAAACTGAGGATTTCAGTGCTAGAAATGCTTTCTGTCAGTCCCTTTTTCCAAGAAGCAGCACGCTGTCTCCTTGAAGGTCCATCCAGAGCCTCTGTCCAGCAGGAGCCTGGAGTGCTGTGGGGGAGAGGCTCCTCTGCAGGGGCTGGGCACTGCAGCATCCAGGGAGCTGCTGTGGGCTTGGTCCTCTTGGCTCTTGATTGCCATCACACAGACTGGGCACACTTCAATTCTCCATCACCTTTCCTGTGTCTGATCCATTTAGAAGGTGATGCCTTTGGAATTTAAGCAGGGACATTATATAAATAAACCAGGCTTCTAGAATGGGGCATTTGATCCTCAGCTTTCAGAAAGCCTCCACATTCAGCTGGTAAATAAAAATCACAATTTGGAATTATGTCCATGCCATTAGCACTTTAAAAAACCCCAAATTTCTAATTTTCCTTGCTCTTTTCAAGACCTTTTCCTGAAAACTGTTGATGCAAGTTTGGAGATGCAAGCAGAGATGGTTTCATACGTTAAAGCTGTTGAGTAAGTGGATATGAGGGATTTTTTGAGGCCAGAAGCATGTGTGAAACCACATTCTGGACGTCAGCCATACACTGACATTTATTCTAACAACTGAAGAAAATATTATAGCAAATAAGATCAATAAGACACAAGGAATTAGATTTTATTTGGTTTTGTTGGGTAAAGAATTACTCTGAAAGCAGATCTGGGTTATATCCACCAGAACTAAAGCCAGAGTTTGGATGCCTTAGAGACAGCAACTTAAACTATCTTTTTTTTAAAGTACATGAAACAAGGGAGATCACAAAGGTTCTGCAGGATTGTAATATATAATTGCCTAATATAATAAGGACTGCCATTGGTTATTTCTATTGAATTGAATTCTTTAACTTGATTTGACACTGTATCAGCTCTGTGCTTCCCTCCCATCCACAGTACAGATGAACTTTGATTTGAAACAGAAATCTGTATGTTGCTATAGGCAACATATATAGGCAGAGGTATTATTTCCTATATAAAAATTAATGAATGCAATAATCACATATAGCATTCAGTACCAGAAAGAACACAGCATTGACCTAGCATTCAGCTCAAGGCAGGGCTTTATGGATGGAGTTTTTTGCTAATCATTTTGATGGAGAAATTAAACCTTTCACGGCAAAATGAGGAATAAAAGCTAAATAGCCAAATATGGCTGTTCCCCACGTTTTATCCTATTTATACAACTTCCTTTCAGCCTTTATTTAAATGACTGAAAACTGTAACAAAGAAGCCTTGTAACTGTGTAGGCCATCTTTTCTTTATTGAAAAGCAGAGCTTCTTCAGTATTTTGCACTTTTTTCAGTAGATCAGTCTGCATCTCTAAAGTGCGACAGAAATATACCTAAAGACTGAAAATAAATTTGTACACAAATCCAAATCTGAGCCTGGATCTACACAACATTTTGTGACACCTGGATCTACACAACAAACATTTTGTGAAGCATAGTTTGTCTTCAGGGAGATGCTGCTTTGCAGCCTGGTAATGGGTGTCTGAGTACCCAGTGCCCTTGTGGCAATGGATGCAGCAAAAGAAACAACTCATTTGTGAAATAGTCATGTATTCCATGTATTTAAGACACAGCAAGGATTGCTGGTGCCAGGTTACAAGGAACAGAAGCAACAGAGTTTCTTGTACTTGTGCTCTGCAGCGCCACTGAGCCTTCCCAAGGATAACAGCACATAGAGATGGAGTGTGGAACAGAATGAAAACTCCATTTCCGACTTCAAATGCTTAAGAAAATTTGCATCCACTTTCCATGTTTATTATAACACTAATTTTTTCTCTCTGCAAATAACTCACTCCTTCACTTCACTCCTGCAGTGCCAGAGGCTGGTTTGGATGGGCTGGGAGTGGCAGGTACTGGTTAAAGTTTGTCAGGCCTGTGTGTGGAACAGGAGCCAACACCCCCAGCCCCTTCCCACACTTAATGAACTCTGGAGTTTGTCTGCACAGAGGAATTGTCCATGTCTGTCACACATCACACTGAGAAATGCTGCCTGGGCACATCCCAGCCTCCTCTGCAGGGAGCAGAGCCCTGGTGGGCAGTGGAGCACATGAACGGCAGGAAGGGTAGGAGGGGGAATTTCTTGTGTTTCACCACAACCTTATGCTCAAAAAAAGACTTGCTGTGGTGAGAGAGCTGTGAATAAACTGGTCTTACTGATGGGGATTTAATTATTCTGGTATTGACAAAAATGAGAATTAAAGGAGGAATCAACCTGCCGACTTCCACAGGCAGTAAAAAACAAGTTTATCTTTCACTGTGTATTGAGCTCGTAGCTATGATAAATTCAATAATGGTCTCTGGGTGTTTAGTGCTTTATGATAACGTATCATTTGGCTTCAAGCAACCACAGTCTTAGGCTATGAAGCTAACAAATAAGACTTCAGACAGTATTATGTTGCTAAACTCAAATATTCCCAGAAAGATGGTGGTAGAGGAGGGGGGAACAAGGAAGAAGAGATATTTAAAGCAGAGTAACTAATGCAATCAGGTTGATCCCAGCAACATCAAAGCTGAAAGTGGTAATGGAAGTTACTGGAGTAAAGCAACAACATATCAAATATAGACAGAAAGCAATTACAAAAGGTATAATAGAAAATTGAAAGGACAAGCTAACTGATGTAAAAAGCTCACAAAAGCTCTGTAAACATTCAAGGGGGAAAAGTTGCTAATAATAATCTATGAAGGCTCAGGGAATACTAATCAGCCTTGAGCTGTTCTTCATTTGTACAAGGACATGTGGGCCCATTCCTGGTTTAAATAAATGACTGAATGACAGAGATTAAACTCATTGAGGTTCTTTTCAAAGTAAAAGGAAAACAAAAAAAACAAAAGAGAATTCTGGCATCAGTCGATAATGCACCAGAAATAGATTTACTGGAGTTTTAGAGATTTTTGTAAAGCCACTAATCTGCCTGCAAGGAAAACATGACTTACCACATATAAAGTGAATCCACCACTGGGTGTGATGTGGGCCAGTGCTGTTGTGCTCAGCTCAGGAAATTTGCTGCCTTTCAGGCTTTTTCTACATCACTCATTTTACTGCATTTACCTTTCCAAGAAGACCAATTTAAATTACTTTCAGTGTGGACAAAAATAGAAGTACAGATGCTGTACAAAGCAAAGCATACTGAATAGTAGGAAAATTAGACACCAGTCATCTCAGGGCTCAATTCCACACTCAGCCTCAGCTTTCCTGAGGTTTCTCAGATTTCTGGCAGGATTTCTAAAGCCATCTCACCTTCAAAAGCCTCACTGTTTAGTCAACATTTCCTCAGCAAAGGGATATTAATTATTTATTAGAATTGCTAATTCTACAATTGCATTTACAGTGTCTGAGGAACAAAATTCACATGAAGATGAACAGCAGCAGGAACTAAACTGGTGTCTCAGATGGGCAACACTGAAGGCCCACATATTTGCCTATTTATTTGCTCAGTATGGTCATTTTCTGATACAAAGGAAAATACAAAAGGATAACAGCACAGCGCTGAAGTGCCTTGTCAGAGGATGGCCTGTTTGCTTAAATTTCATCTCTTTCTCTCCTTGGTGGCTCAGAGAAGCTGGCAACATTCATGTTCTGCTGAGTAAAAAGTAACCTGGTAGGAGGTGGGAAGCCTCGGTCACTTTATCAGCACATAAAGAAGCAACAAGGATTTGAGAGATTTCCTCCTGAAATTCTGCCCTCAATGGGAAAGGAAGCGCTGAACTCTCTATTTTAAGTATTTGTTTTCTTGCTTTTAAATCACTTTTTTTTTTTTTTTAATTGCTGTATCTTTAACACTGGTGGTGCTCATGCTAATCAAAAACACTTGTTCTTGGAGTGTGACAGACATCTAATAAAGAAGTATAGAAATTAAGCTGAACCATCTATAAAGAAATTGTAAAATTCAGTATTAATGATCCATTTCAATCTTAAACAATAGTTTTGTGCATCACTGATGAATCAGCCAAATGTATGTAATATTCAGTTACTTTTGACAGAAAAAATAAGTAACATGCAACACTATCTCTGTCCAGAGGGCCTTTCTCTCATTTCCCACAAAATTCAGCCATTTGCCCATATTTAGCTCACTAAGCAAACAAATTATTCATTTTTTCACTACTGTGCCTGCAAAAAAGAATAAATACTGAGTCTTGAAAGATTTCCAGTAAATCACCATATTGTGTTAGTCCCATCCTGCATTTATTCTTTGCATTCACATGAATTAATGAAAGATGCAGCAGGCAGCTTTAACTGACATTTTCAATAATTTGGACAGGGCCAGTCCAACCAGTACTGAAGACTTAAGAGCACAAACTGGAACGAACCTTGATATGCAGAGTGAGTGAAGCTGGGCATTGCCCCCAGCAGAGAACAGAAGGCAGTGCTGACCCCAATCCCCATTTCTGCACTGAGTGCTGCTGCCCAAAGCAGATGCTGTCCATGCTCCAGAGCTCAGCTCAGCAGCAGGGCAGAGCCCTCTCCCCAGGGCTGTGGTGAGGGCTGGGGCACTGCAGAGGTGCCAGGTACAGCCCTAGTGTCTGTACAAACCCTCTGGCAGTGCCCACGGACACAGACCTGTCTGTCTGTCCTGCTTTGTGCTCTAAGCATTGCAGAGACCACACTCATTCTTCTGCTCGGGCCTGTGTGTCCGATTATTGTTTCTATAAATAATTGAAGAAACTAATACCTTGGCTTTTAGATCTGCTTTTAAAAATTATCTCTTGCTTTCATTTTCCTTGTTTTCTCAGAGTACAACTTCTCTCAACTGAAGAACTTCAAGATATAGTTTTTGTATATTAACACTTCAACAACAGAATAAACCTCAAAACATGGGACTCATAGTCACAAGTGTGATGCAGAAAGCAAAGACAATTTTGAGAAGAGACACTGGGCACATTCTAGATTTAGAAGCAAACATTAAATTAGCAAGAATTGTCATTTTTTTCTTTTTATTAACAGCAGTTCCAATGTTTAAATTCAACCATCAGTCAGTCTCACAGTACAGAGATCAGAATACCTGAAACTCCTTTGAGGCACATGGATATGTGCATTTCTTCCTCATACATTCCCCAAAGTAGCAGTAACTTTCTTAACATTCCAGCTCAAAATAAAAATGTACTGAAAATGTACAATTTTTCATAAGTCTTAGAACACCTTGTCTTTTCCTCATGTATTTCAATGAAATACATGAGGAAAAGCAATATGAAATTCAAAGTCTTTAAGTAGAGCATGATAATTTATTAGAGCTTCATCTCAAGCTCTATACATAATGCTTTTTCAACATTCTACATTCTTGTTATGGTCCTGACAAAATTTCCCTCAGAAAGCTAGAATCATCACCAAGTGAAGTTTTAATTATTTAGGCCCAAACTCTTACGAAGTGCAAAAAAAAAGAACAGGGTAAAACCTTCAGCATCCAAATTTCTAAGAATGGTAGGGTTTGTAAGCTTAAACATTTAAATGTAAGAGGACTTTTATTTCAAGTACTGTAAAAGAGAAACATTGCCACTTACTGGCAGTACCAATGTATTTGCAGTATTTGTAAGCATTTATGTGCATCTTCAAATGCTCTGTTAACCTTTATACTATTTGTCAATAAAAAGCCCCATTAACATTTAAACTGTGTATGTCCAACTACCTACTTGAAGCAGGAATCAAAAGAGAACCTGTAAGGAACAGGTTATTTATTACAGACTACATTATTGGGACTGTACACATTGGAGATTTTAAAAAAAAACTCACATACCTTACAGTTAAAAAACCCAAAAGGTAAAAAAAAAAAGTCAATCATTACTTGGGAAAAAGGCTGAGGATGGCCTGAGCAGGAGATGTGACCACCAAGGGGGAATGGTACACAGTACAGCTTTGGAAAGAGTAGTGCAGCTTTGGCAATAGTGCAGCCAGCTAGAGCCACCTCAGGAATACTGGAGGTCTAAAGATATCACACTGGACAGGAAACTAAAACTGAAACACTGCTTTTGCAGTAGGAACATCAGAACTTACCTGATATTCACAACTAACCTTACTTGACATCGAGAATTTGTCTTCATTGGGCAAAAACTTAATCAAAGATAACAATCACTGGACAAGAACTGAAATCAGACAGACTCTTCAATCAAGCTGCTGAGCTGGAAGTGACAATGACATAATTCACCAGTCCAGCTATGTCCCCTAAAATTCTGTTTCAAGCAACACTGATTTAGTAGAATTCCTGTGTGCTGCTTCTTAAAGTGAGTATTTCAAAAGGTAAGGAAAAATCATTCCAGAATCTAAAGACTGAAACTGAAATCAAGTATTATCTATTACCACTGCTTTTATAAATCATCAATAAGGACAGCATGACCTGTTCCAATGAAAAGAAAAATAAAAGGCATTAATTGTCTTCAAGTATGAGAGATGCACTCACAGTGACAGTAGAGGCATTCATTTAATCACTTTACAAGAGGGAAATCTATAGACTCCATAGAAAATTTACAACCAAAATGGAGCTAATGTGACAAATGGTGCTCATGTAGCAAAAACAAAAAATGTCAAGTCTGCAAATTGAATAAAAATGTGCTTTAGTGGCTTTGCCTCCTCAGGCTCCAGTTTGACAGAGCACCAATTCCCCCATTCCTTCCTCTCAGCTCACGTCCGTCTCGTCTTCTGTTTCTTCGTTTGTCTCTTGGCATCCTCTGAGCCCCCAGCGTCAGAGCCTGCCTGCCCCAGAGCACGGACCCCTTGCAGCCGAGCTGTCAGCTGCAGCAGTAAGGGGATCAGCTGCAAAAAAAAGGGAAGCAAGTTGTGGTTACAATGGTATGTAAGGTCTGAATGGTATGGTTCTCCAGACATGTAGCCCCTACCATATTCTATTGCATCAATAGCACGTCTACAAAGATATCAGAATATGGCAGCAAATCTTGGGGAGGAATCAAACCCAACTTCTGGGAGTTTCAGATAATCAAAATCTAAAGTAATTGTTTGAGAGGAAATCAAACTGAACAGACAAATTTAATTTCTCTTTTTGGTAAAACAGAAATCCAGTCATATCAGTAAATACTAGAATAGCACAGTTTGATACCAAAGACAGGGGGCTTGGATAGCAGATATTTGTATTCCTCTTGAGAGCTTTTGAACTAGGGAGGGTATAAAGCTAAAGAGACTAGACCTGAAGACTTGCAAGACTTTTTCCAGTCTGATTGTGCCTGAAGCCAATAAAACAATTATTTTCATTCCTATTATCAATGAGTCTGGCTATCTGAATTTTAATGATGCTGTATTGTTTTTTTCTCAGAGCAATCAAATGAGAAACCAAAATTCAGCCACAGAACAGGAACTCACCTTCAGACCAAGCTTTTTTAAAGGAAGGTAACTGTCCAAAAGCATGGCTACACTGTGGCTTTTCTTATATCACATAAGGGGACTGTAACTGCACCTCTCTCTGGATAACCCTCACTGAGCACAGTGCACCATATCCACTGACAGGACAGTAATATTTGGGCAGGAGCAGAAGCACCCCTGACCCACCTTGTCGTGGTTGTAACCGGCCAGCAGCAGGAGCAGCGTCAGTGGTAACGCGATGTAAGACCCTTGGGCAATGTCTTGCTCAGGCAGCTTTCTCTGGAAACAGTGCAGATCATGGATTTTATTGTTTTAACAGTTGACTGTGAAATCCCTCAGCTCTAAGAAACATCAGCAATAGGGATCACAAGGCACATCCAGCCCTTCTCATCTGACTTCCTTCCAAATGCTGTTCTAGGATTTACTTTACTTTCCACTTCAAAGCCACCCTCTGGATCAGCCACTCATGTATTACCCATTCCTGAGGTGTGCTGCTTTGTAAAGCCAATTCATGGGTGATCAGTCTCCACTGACAGTCAGCCCGGTGTGCTTTGCTTTTCCGGTCCCATGCTTCCCACACCTCTGTGACCCCACTACAGCAGCCATGCCAGCACAGAACCTTTCAGGCACATCTGCACCCTTCATTTCTTACTGCTGTTCCATGTCTCCCTCCTGTTCCACTGGCAACTGAACACACAGCAAATCTAAATTAATGCCACTCATAAACCTCTTTATATTTACACTAATAGAAAGCTTGGCCAAGAACACATTGGAACATGAAAATACTTAGTACTTACAGTGGGACTGAAGACCAGTGTAATGTGTTTATGATATCCAATGGCAGTGAAAGAAACTTGAGGCAGGCTGTAGTCATACTGTGATTTGGACAATGTAGAATCCAGGAGCACCACGTAATTCTGTGGGTAAAAAACACACTCAGGCTACAGCATCAGGAGCAATCTGAGACAAAATCACATTTAAAGGCAAAGGTCAGCAAAGCAGGCTTCCAATCTTCCAAGACACTGGTTAGTGCAGCATGAATATAGCTCTGCAGGCACACCACAAATTACACTTCAGTGTCCTTAGGGTAAAAAATAAAGTGCTCTAAGCTAATTTTCCAGCAATATTCTTACCTCTCCATCTCGGAGTAGTGGTGGGAAATGAAAAAACAGGGATAGGCCTAAGTTGACTGTATGAATTGGGTTGTCAAGATTTTCACTTTTGTACAGCTTGACCTGTAAGTGAAGAAAGAACAAACAAGGCATTTTCCAAGCCTGCACCACAACAGATATTTCAGACATCCCACATTTTCAGGGATAAAAGCATTTCAAAATTCATCATGTGTTTTTATAAACAGAGAATTGTTGAGTAAGAACACCTGGAAATATTCTAATCTGGGATGTGAAAAGTCACGAAGTAGTCTTTTTATAGAACTTGAAATAATTTAGGAAGGGCTGCTGTCTGACATTTCACATAGCTGGTGTATGAAAAGCAGTCTGTGCTGTGGATCACAAAACTGCTCTCACTTGTGTCTGGAACCAGTCTTAGCACAGCTTCAGAGAAAAGAATGTCTGCATTGGAGGCCAGGGGGATGACATGCACCCATCAACAGCTCACTTGCAGTACATGCAACACAAGACCCCACCAAATATGAAGAAGGCACAGACTTGGATAACTTCCATATAATCAACTTTTAACATCAATTCCTATTAGCTTAGGCTGAACTGCAAGGGTTTAAATTTCCCCAGGAAGATGGGACACAAGCTCAGGTGTTCTTCAGAAAGGTGACACATTTTCCCTTCACACCTGCTCTGAGTGCTGGTTCCTTTGGATGTCTCCCAAAAAACCCAACAGCTTAGCAATGAGATCTTGGCAGGTGAGATGCATAACAAACTAGTATGAAAGAAATTCAAGCACTGCATTTATATTGGCAAGTAACATTTTATGGAGTTTTTAGACCTGAGAAATGATATTGTAACTCCTACCCCACTAACACCTCCTGCAGAGACTTCCAGCATTTGTGCCCTAAGCTAAAGGGATCAGAGGTGTTAGCAAGCTTTTTCAGATCACAGTACAGTGTTCTGAATTTTGAAATTTCGGTTTTTCTATTTGTCTTATACTGTCTATTATAATGTACTCTTAAATTTACATGCCTCATGGTATCACTGCATTAACATGGCATCAAGTTTTGACATACAGGTCCAAAATTTCAGGTGTTTCAGGAATTAATACAGTTCTCTGATACAAAGGACTCATTTCACCCTTGCTGTTTTGATGCCCCTACAGACAAAGCATCCCTAATCAGAGAATTATATCCCAAAGTGTGTAGGCCAACCAGAGAAGTATTTATTAAACATATTCCCATGAAAAATGGGAACATTAAAGTAAAACATCAGGAACACTTCAATCTTCATTCTGTCTGGAATTCAAATTCACCTTCATTAAACTATTAGTAATAATTTGAATTAAACGTGTGCTCTGGCTACTGAACTCCAGTGACCCTGCAAAAAAAAAAAATCACTGTGAAAGCAGTAACAAATACACTTGACAAAGATGAAAGGCTTGAACTTACACATAATGTAGAGAGATATTCAGAAGCTGTAATTACATTTCCACTTAAATCAAATTGATTAATTTGCCGGAACGCTATAATATTAACATCATCAATGTCACTGTTCCCAACCTGCAACAGAAAACACAGTCAGGTTTCTACCAACAGAGGTACAGTTCACAAAGGACAGCAACACAACTGTTAACACAACACCAACACTGCTGGTCATTTTAAATAAAAAGTGGATTTTGTTCTGTAATAACCACACGGAAGCTCAAAAGCGTTCCCACTTCAAGTCCCTGTTCTCCAGAGTGCACCACTCGCAATTGCAGACTTGGGCATTACCAGCATGAGACTCATGACATTAAGCTAAACTAAAACTGGAAGTCTCAAAAGCATAAACTATACTGGAAAAGGCTGAGGTACATCCACAGGACTGCCTGATCTCAAAACATTGGTCTCAGTATTTTGTACTTGTGCTGAGAGATGCACAGAGATGTTCATACAGTTGATTAATGTGGAATATTTAACAAGATTTCACCAGTTTTCAATGCAAAGTTATTACTACATTTTATAAAGATAAAAGTGCTAGTCCAAATTACAATTTCACCTACATCAAGACTGCATGATTTGGACCCAATAAAACATAACATATCTCTCTGTCCATAACTAAATCAACTGTAGGACAATATGACAATTTATAACACCCTCAAGCTACCACTGCTTTGCTCCACATCACAAAGTGTTGAAAGGTGTTCCATACATTTATTCTCTTGTTTCTGGATTAAGAGTTTTCATGACTATGAAAGAATCATTTTCACTTGTTTACTGTTTGGGCTTTATCTCACTTCAGTTTTGAGCTAGGGTGCTGACACACAATATGGGGCCTGTTTTTAGGGAGCTAACTTGCTGAAAAGCACTTGTCTAAACAGAATGCCTTCATTACATTGCTGCTGACAGAAGAGACAGAATGCCTAGACAGACCCATTTTATATTTAAGTGATGCTACAAAAAAAGAGAAAAAATTACCTCAATTGCCCGATGCTGTGGTAAAGCTCTTTCAATGTGATCATTGCCTTCAGCTTTGAGTTGGACATGATACACACAGCCAGGCTGAAAGCAACATTCAGATGATAAATCCCAACACTGAATAATACATACTTTAATTTTTGAGAGTAGTAAAGAGAATTTTCTAACACTCCATTTAAGATACACCACCCAAACAGATTTAACTCTATGCAGTTAAAGCTTTCCTGAATCAAATACAAAATTCGGATCAATAACACTACTAGGAGTGTTTAGTGTCAGAATATAAGAAAGGGTTATATAGAACTTTCATTAGTTTGTTGAATCACAGTGTTAAAAGAAATCATGTGCTGTGATGAAGGAAAACACAGGATTAAAACTTGATCCAACATTGCCTTATACTTCAGGAAATTGTTGATTCCTTCCATAATGGTGCCATAAATTCAGCTTCCCCATTCCCTGAAGAACAGCTTACTTCACATACATGCTGTGCAACCAACATCACACAGACACCCAATATCCTGCTATAAATAGGTAGTTGGTATCTTCACAGGAGAAACTAAACACTTCCCCAAATTTTTTGCCTATGACAATTCCCTGCTGGTCACCCAAGCACTGACCAGGGGATTGTCTCCTGTCACACCAGCTGCTCAGTGCTTGTGGAGACCAGCACAGTATGCTGCCAGCAAGTTCACAGACTTATACCACAAGCTTTTCTTTTCCTCTTTTCTCAAGCTCAGTGTTCACTGCTTGATTGTGTTTCTTCACACAGAGACTCAAGGGAGTCTGAGCTAGCAAACATGATGGGAAAACAGAAAGCAGTGGCTACTGAACAGAACCCATGTCACTGCTCCATTGTCACACTGACAGACAAGGAAATGACAGAGCCTCCTGCTCCTTACCCGAAGGCCACGGAGCCTGAATTTGCCCTCTTCATCAGTTATTGTGTCCTCTCCATAGATGCTGCAATCCTTCTGTCCCACAGCTTCCACCGAGACTCCCTGCTCAGGCTCTCCATTTAAAGAGGAAACTGTGCCATAACAGCTGAAGGTGTAAAAAGAACAGTTGCTACAGATAGATATGCAGTTGCTGTTTTAATATATATTTTAAAGACATTTTAGTGTTATAACTGATGGAAGAAGTATTTAATGTATTTACCATAGCAGGAAGAAGAAAAGGGGTATTTATAATGTGTGTGTAAAACAGTTTAAATCATCAGAATTTGCTGCAGTTCAGAACACAACTTTAAGAATACAAGTTTCCTAGATTCCATCAACAACAGCTCTTTCTTACCCCTGAGGGTAAGGAAAGCAAGAAAAAGTCAGATATTTGGTCTACCACACCTAGAACAGTCCTCTCCTCCCCCACTGGAGGCAGCACAAACCACTTCCAGTACCACTGAGGCACTGCTTTCATAGCCATTGTTCTTCCTATAGCTCTGCCATCTGGGCTTAGCTATATATCCACAACCACGAGAAAAGGCCAAAAAAAGTACTTATACACAACATAATTACGTTAAACTAAGACTTGGAAAGTCTCCTCCAAACCTGCAAGAACAGAGGTGTGCTGGGAGGAAACACATTTGGCACAATACATCCTGATACAGCCCATAGTATTTTCTACAGATTCCAGCCCCACTAACCTGTAAGCTGTTCTGTAACCAGTTATCTGGATTTTGAGATTTTGTCCTTCCTGCACTTCAATCATTTGTGATGATGGCTCAAACCGAAATTCTTTCATCATGGGTTTAAAGTAATATTGCCCTGGGCTCTGCAAAGAGGCACAAAACAAGCTGTTTACTCATAGCGGTGCAAAAACTCACCAACTCCAAACAAATTTGCTTTGCAAGAGCTCTCTAAGAGCTGAAGTCCTCTGTTCCAACCACAGGTTAAGCCTGTCACAAAATGTGATTAGTGAAAAACAGAAGCACATTGGACAATAAACTGATGGAATTCCACCTGGTGACAAAGTGTTAAGAGAGAAAGGAAACTACAGCCCTAAAATCTTACCACAAGGCCTCAAGGACAGGAAAGTGACCACAAAAGAAGGATGTCTGCATAGAAACCATTCAAGCATGTCTACACACATATAGATCAATAATGTAATTAGATTTCCTTCCCCCTAAAGACTCTCCAATGACTACCAACAAATTGGCTTGTTTCAAGTTTACAGACTGCAAATTAGTAACTGAGATCAGTCAACATCATCTACGACCTGTTGGGGAGAAACCCCTTGCCATGTTAGATTTCACATCTTTCACTTGCTAAGATTTTAAGTGCTGTTTCTTCTCAGGGATCTGCATCTCTCATTGTGGGTTAGGGTTTCAAAGGACACCTGCCACTCAGGAGAGCCCTCTTTGGGAGGGCAACGGAGCCCCACACACAGCCACGCTCTGAAGAATCATTTCAACTTACCAGATTGGAAAATGTCAGCATGCCATCATCCTGTGTGAGGAGGTTGGACCGAAACACCCCTCCACTGAGAGACAAAAGAACTCCAGCAAGAGCCTGGTCATCCTCTGATTTGATCTGTTTTTGAAAAACCAGTAATTTTAGGTGTAAGTGAGGGCTTCTTTATGGAGAAGGGCTCAGTTAAAAAGCCCCTTGCAGAGTGCACAGGTAAGCTGGCTCTGAGCACCCAGCTGTGAGCAGAACTAACCACATGTGTACTGCCCCTCCTGCCAGACCAAAGGGCTGCAGAACCCTCTGCTCCCAAGCCCTGGGCAGTCCCAGCCCCAGCACAGCATGTGCCACCACAGCAGCCATTCTCTACCACTCCATAAAATACACAGGGAGGCCAGAACAAAGCACCCCAAACACTGGAACCAAGCACTAGCTGGATCAGAATACACTTACACCTTGAGGGATAAAACTCATTAAAACAGGGTGGTCCAACTCTATAAATGCAAATAAAGCCAGTCTTTTGGACTTGCAGGCTCTAACCTTCACTCTATAAACCTTGCCAAGTATCTTCTGCATAGCAAGTCATGGTCTACAACTGAGTTCATCCACCGAGATTTGCTTTCTCATGACAAAAAATATTATCCAAATAATAAATTATCCCAAAATTCCACACGCATTTGTCTTTGGAAGACATGGATTCATTTGTTGCCTGTCCAGCTCCAACTGCTCACACTATTCATTTAGAACCCCAAATGTTCAGAACATTACCTCAAATGTCACCCCAGCAAGAGCAAAAGCTTTGAAGTCTCCAACTGTTCCTTCTAGGGCAGTCAGAACAAAACCTTCCTTCTGAGCAGTGATTGTGTATTCCAAGTCACTGTGGAGTGGCCCAACACTTCAAATAAAAGGAGAACAGAACTTGTTTCAGAAAGAACACCTGGATATCCCAAACACATTGTCAAGTAACCACTGCATTTTAACTAAAGAATCCAAAGGCTCAAAACCAATCCGCTCATTACCTGTAAGTGCCTTTGTCATCAGTGAAAACCGTGATAAGTGCAGAAGTTGCTCCCTTCTCACTAATGACAATCTCAACACCTTCCAGTTCAGGATGAATCTGCCCTTCCAGAAATAAGCCTGCTTTTCCATGAATCTCTATCAGCTTCCCAGGACAACTCTCTTGGTCATTGTGAAGGGGATTTAAGACAAAGAAAAAGGTCAAAAATACACTTGACGTTCCAGCTTACAACAGGAGTTTAACTACTTCCAAAGTGATCAGCAGGTGGCCTTTTATCTTAGAACAAGAGATCAATCCACACAATTTCATGGCCTCTCAACACATCTTACAAGATCTGAACAGTACCAAAATGAATAACTGCATTTCAAAGTTATAAGCACATCCCAAAAAACCTTACAGATTTCTGAAGTGTCTGGAGGTCTCAATGAGTTACATACACTGCAGCCACATGGAGACAATTGCAATGAAACTCCCTTCTAGGCAGATTACACTGAGCTTTGACCACATTTTTTGAGTTCCAATTCAGTTCAGCATATGTCATGTTCAATGACAGTAAGCAAAATTTTATTTCCCTCCCTTAAATGCATTTAGAATGTGCAAACAGAGTCACATGAAAAGAGGCACTTAACATTTCCTTGTGATTTCAAACAAAATATGTTCACTTAAGAACCTGAGGACAAGATGGACACTGACATAACATGCAGCATCAATAATTGATGATTACCCTGTGACCCTGACAATTTTGAAGTTTATCTTTTTTTTGTGAATATTCTTATTACTGTAATCTAGGGGGGGGAAAAAACTTTATGAGGAACTTGAATTTAGTAACAAATTCAAAATAGAAACCTGGTTTTTGCACAACTCTTTTTCTAGGTGACAGTACTATGAACAATTTTGAGAATCTGGTGTAATACCCAGAAACCCAGCCTTCCTCTCGTGCTAGGTGGTTTTTCAGAAGAATTCTGCTGATGAAAACTGTACTTGCATCCTTTATCAAATAACTTCCAAATTCCAGAATTAAACTGGCCCAAAGAAATAGCTGCAACTGAAACTTTCCTAACATTACCTTTCAAGTTATTCATATGTTTATCTAAACAAATACATTTCAACTATAAAAACCCAATCCTTTCAAACAACAAATTATTCATATTTACCTCCACTAACAACTGCTTCCACATAAGGTGGGTAGAAGAGCAGCTCTTTTGATGATGGTGTTACAGTAATTTTCTCTCCAGACCTGTAAAACACAAATAAGATACAATTAGAAGAAAATCAAAAGCTCTCATGTAGAGCAGAGTGCAAGAATGAATCTAAATACTCCAAGAAAAAAGTAACAACTTAAGCAAAATTCTTACTATGTGCTACTAAGTTTTCTTGTAGTTCAAAGTCACCAAAGGCCGGCAGCTCTGTTCTAACTGAAATTGTATCACTATTCTGTTTGACAGAAACATTACACAACAGTACAAAGAATACAGCTTGTCCATTATAGGAGCTTGGTATTACCTTGCCCAGTATGAAAATTCATATAAGAATGGTCCTTGGAGCTCCTCCACCATTTCTTGCACTGGTGGCTTTGTTCCTTCCTCCTCCTGCCCCTTCTTTTCTCTCTCCTGCCGGCGGCTCTCGATTTCTGCCAGCTGCTGCTCCCGACGGAGCTCCTGAACAGACTTCAGGGGCCCCAGAACTAAGGCAGGTTCACTGTCAATGGATGACCTGAAAATATGGAGAAAAAACCAAAATCATCTCCTTTCCTATAAAGAGACAACAGCTTGTATCTGTTAATTACTGCCTTTACACCACCACAGACAAGTCCCAGGATATTTTTCCTCTTTAACTGCCCTGTTTATTCTGGTAAGAGCACAGGAGTGGTAAATTTTTAGGCAAAAGGATCAGTTTGCAACAGTATCTTTAACAAAGACCTAAACTAAAAGAGAAAGGCTGAAATGTCAAACCTGAGAACAAGCTTAATAAAGAAAGTACAAAATAAGTAAGAAGAGTGCTAAGCTTGCTTTTTTTTTTTTTTTTTTTTCAGAACTAGGAACTTTTGTCTCAGAACCTACCTGTCAAGAGCAGAGAATAGAAGGAGAAAATAACTTCTAACACACATAAATACTTCCAAGAGCCAGAAATTCCCAGGAAAAGCTCTGAGTTCTTACCTATCTACCCTGTTCATTTGAACCACCCAGCTCTCTTGTCACTGTCCACTGAATAGATTGCTAGATAAATTTAACCAAGTTTTTAGAATCAGCTCAAAGCAATGAATTTTATTTCACTCTCCTTGATCTTGCATCCTCCTCCTTCTTCTAGACTCCAATCATCCTTTGTATCTTATCATCTATCTCTTCTTCAACATTCTCAGTGAGGACTGCACCAAAATTATCACAATCACTTTTCCAACAGCTACTTTAGATAACCAGGATAGCTCTGTCTCCTGCTTCAGTGTTCACCTGTATTCTAGTCTGTCTTTTTAAGAGATAGTTACTATTGCTTTATCACACTAAGTTTTATCAAGGCTTTATATTCTTTCTCTGCAGTCCAGACACAATACAGAAACACGTAATTTTTTCTTTGTCTGAAAGCCTATTAAGAATTTGTACAGCCACACACAGTCTCAAGGTACTCATAATACATTACTACAGTCTTATTTTTAAAACATACCAAGCCATTATCAAGAACTAATGAAAATCAGCTTTGCTTTTGGTTGAGGTTGTTTGGGGTTTTTTGTTAACTGAAAGTTAATGGGTCTGGTAGACACACTTGTAAAAACACATGGTTTGCTTTTAAACCCCGAGCTGTTCCCTTTATGTTGATGGCACTTCACAAATTGGACTTCAGCTGAAAAGCTTGAGGCAGGATTGATCAGAGACAGCTGTGGCAACTAAGCTGCCTTCAAAGAACTGGCCAATAGCCTCCAAAAACCCAACAAGCTTAGAAGGTTGGTAGAATATTCACCTCCTCAATAAATTGTTTTTAAAATCCTAATGGCTATCTGCTGTCTCAGTGTCTCCTTTCCAGCTGCTGGAGTTGCCCAGCAGTTGCAGTGATAGGGTCATTAATCTTAGAGAACTCGAGGCAATGCTCCACAGGTAATGTTCTCTGAAAAGATGTTTTCTGCACTCAAAAAAGTTTGAGAGGCCATAGTCTAAAACAAGTAGACACCAGCAGAGTATCAATAAAATAGTCATCATTATCAGACACTTCCAGACAGATTTGGCACCTCGTACAATTAAAGCTGTTCACAAATCAGTGCTCCCTAGTGAGCTGTCTCTTCAGATAAATATAAACTGGTGCATTAATGCACAATCACTCTGCATGTTTTTCCTTTTATAACCCTCCTCACACCAGTTACAATGCTGTAAAGCAGCAGATTCTCATTCTGGGGAAAGAAAAAAGGGAAAAAATATATGCCAGTGCCTTAAAGAGTTCAGACCTCAGCTAAAACAATACCCTCTGAATTCTAAAACATCAGTTCATTGAAGCATATAAAAACTCAGAAAATCATTCCTTTTTACCAAGACACAAAAGTAGGGAGGGACAACGTTCAAACTATAAGAAAATGCTCAAAATGAGGCTGTATTTATCTCTCTCCTAAGAACTCAAAGCACATCTTAGCGTTAAATATATCCTGCAGCCCAGGCTAGGATGCCATCCCCTTAGAAAGCAGCCAGTGCAGCACTAAAACTGGAGTAAAGCTTTATGAGAGAAATGTCTTTTTCCTCCACCTTTTACAGCCCCATGATTTCTTTGTCCTTACTTAATGGTAACAGTCACATCCATCAGTTTATCAGTTACAATTGTGCCAAGGACATGGTGGCGAACTGCAGTGAGCGTCAGGATACTGGGAGAGGACCTGCAAATCAAAGGAACAAAGACATGAATTCAAGGTCCCCTTCCCAAATAAACAAATCTTATTTAGCAGAGTCTGTGCTCTCACTCCTGAGATTGAAATGCTTTATAAAAGATAATACAGAAATTATACAGCAATGCTGTAGTGCTGGGATGGTCACATTTTGGAAAGGGAGCATTTCCTAACTTGGGCCCCAAAGCAATTCCTTCCTTTGTGCCTTCTGCTTCCTCTCAAGCTAAAGTTGATTTGATTGATTTCATATGTCAAAGTGTCATTACACACATCACCAGATCATAATCTATAAATAAATAATTAAACTGGACTGGCCAAAGAAGATCAGCACTGCTTGCTTGCAGTAAGGGTGAACATTTATTCAGCTTGCAACAAATGGGGTGAGCAGAATCCCACCACCAGAGGGTCATGGCACTAGTGATGTGCAGTAGTGGCAAGGGCCTCTTAGCAATCTTACTATCCTATTTTTTGCCTTTCAGCTCTCAGAAGTGACCAACAGTTTTCACTGAAATAACTTTCTTCTCCGTTACAAGGCAAACCCAACACTAAACAGACAGAAGGCTGAAAAAGATACCCATCTAAAGTAACTAAAGCATCTTTAAGCCCTATCATTAGTTCATTCTTATTACTTTTATTACTTTTAAGATAGGAAGGGCAATAGAACAAACACATGTGATACACCTTGCTAGAGCTTCCCTCTACACATCCTGGCCTGCTGAAAGCAAGCAGGAGAAGGAAGCTTTATGGAGAATCTTGCTGGTAGGTGTAAGGTGAGGAACAGTCACACTTACGTGTCGTAGGTGTAATACTCGTGCTCAAACTGGTGGCAGGAGCGCGGGGTCACCTCATACACACCTACAAACAGCAAGGCAAAGAATGACCACTGAAAAGGTCAACTTTTAGAGCACAGGTATAGAAACAACTACAAAATTTGACTGCCCTTCAGTATCTGACTGCCTTTCAGTATCTGCTGCCTTTCACGCAGACACCTTCTAATGTGTCTGACAAACAGAACGTATATGAATGAGATTATTTCAATATAACCTTTATCCATCAAAGGCAAAATGCTTCCATCACCAATAAAAAAAAATAGTAACATTTTATTTCTGGAATCTAGATTTGGTGAACGACTAATAGCGAAAGAAATGGAGAAATCTACGAACTTGGAACAGATAATTTATATACAGATGTAATTGAAACAATGCCTTTCAGAAACCACAACAAATTATTTTTATTCCCAGCAATATTACCTAACTGGCTATTTTTAATTTTTTAAATATTTTAAATCTGTTACCTGGCTTTGAAAGACAGAATCTATTAACTCCTTTGGAGAGGTTATAAACACCAACATTCTCTGGTCCATTTCCATCCTGATAAAACTCCTGTGAAGCCACAGCATAAGTCACTATTAACAACTACCAAACAACAAAATAAAAACAGTATTTGCCTAAAGATACATCAATGCCACCTCTTCTGTAACACCTAACATCACAAGACCATGTTACCAAAGTTAAAAGACAAATCTTGAAGCACACTAAACATCAATGTTCCCAGGCTCTGTGACCTTCCAGAGACAGGAGAAAGCCTTGATTCCAAGCATAATCCACCCTGGCCTCACAAGGTCATTAAAAACATACAGGAACATTTGTTTCCTACGTACCAGTGTGATTGCATGAGAAAGAGAACACCTCAGCATATATCCAGTCTGCCTGAATTCTACTCCTGACACATCTTCCTCCAAGACTTCCAATTCCAAGGACTTATTCTTCCAGCACCAGTCTTCATGTACAATGCTTACTAGAATATATACCACACAAAGCATTTCAGTAATATAGAATTGAGTAAATAAGGTTTTGTGATATGAAAAGTTTGTGTCTCTCTAGCTTCCCTGACAATAATCTGCAAAGGTAAATATACACCAATGCCTAGAGTAACAGACCTAGCTCCCAGCACTGCAGCATCACCAGGAACCCAACACATCCATCAGGAAAGCTGTGCTATGAAAAGGAATAATGAAGCCTAGCCAACCTGGAAGGTTCCTCAATGGGCACTACTATTGTGACAGGCAAAGAAGCCCAAAGGACATCACAACCTAACCCAAATTTAACCTGGTGGAAAGATGTTCCCACTCCTCTACAAAGAGTGTTATCTATATACTCCCTCTATATCTTTCCCTAGAAAACAATTTATTTTCACAGGCCAAGGCAGGCTGGCCAAAATACAGCTTGTTCTTAGGAGCAGCACTCTGGAAGGAGCATTAGAGTGTGTCCCTGTTCTTAGGCTTGGGACAAGCTAGTTCACGATAAAGCCCACTACCCCCACACCACCCACACAGTCCCTAAAACTCAGGGGAGCAGTAACCTTTGGGCTGACACGGGCTTAAACATCCAACATTAAGAAAATCTGTTGTAAGGTATTTTTCCAGCTTTTCTCAAGTGCTGCAAAAGTCATCCATGATAACAGAAGTGCTCGGATCAGGTCACAGATTGAGCTACCAAGGTGCCCCCCAAGCAGTTGCCCTGCCCTACCTTTGTACCTGCCCGGGAGCACGCCCTCGAAGGTGAAGGGCACCGAGTCCCTGCTGCCGGCCAGCTGCAGGCTGCGCTTCTCCCCCTGGCGGCTCGCGGCCTGCAGCGCCACCATCAGGTCACCGCACGCGTCTGCGAGGGACACACAGCACGTCAGGCTGCGCCGAACCCGCCAGCGCGCCTCTACCGACACCCAAATGCTGACTCCTCCCAGCACAGCGTGGGGCCAGTTAAAACTTGCTTCTTAGGTACATGTCATGGGGTTTTGCATGCTGCAGGATTTTGGGACCGTTAATCATATTCTTTATCTAATGGCAAGAAAAAACCTGAGATCAACATTAAGTCCCTGGGTTCACTTCACTTTGCAGAGATATAAGAGCCAAGTAAACACCTGAGAGGCAGAACACAAAGTGCAGGGAGGATTCCGAGAGGAAAAAGGAAGGGTAAAAATCAGGCTCCAATCATCTGCTAAAATCAGTGGGTAATCAAGGAAAATATCAGGAGGGAACCTTAGATTAAAATAAAGAAAAGCTTATGAAAGAGAACAGAGGTTGAAAGCTTCTTCCAACAGCTTTAACATCTATCCTACAGTTTTTATACACACTGCTTTTTTCCCCTTTTTTTGTAAACTTCTTTTTTACCTCCAATACTTCTCTGATTGATATACAGTAGCAGTCAGGACCATTTCCTTTCAGAACCCACCCACCTTTTGAGGAAGGAAGGCTTGCTTATCCCTAGCAATTATTAAAAGGAGGTACATAACTTTAGTCCAAACTTTGTTAAGGTACCTTACTAGGCCACAACTCTCCCAAGGAGAGCTGCTTTTTCCATGTGCTGTAAGTTACATTTACGTATCTGCTGATGGGACTAACCACAGCGTCTTGATGCCAACAACACTCACTCACATGCAGTGCTGAAGTTCTCCATTCCATTGCCATTTCACTTTCACTATGGACTTACCTAAACAAGAGATCTTCCCTGAGACAGATGCCAAAAACTGAGAGAAGGTCACATCCATCACTGGTCTGTCAGTAACAGTGACAGGGAACATTTTGGGTTTCAAAGCCAACCCTGCTCTGGTCTCAGCCTCTGGAATAATTACCTGTAGACAGTAATGAGAGGTATATGACATCAAGGCATTACCACCTTTCAGACACCAGTCCAAAAACACCACTCTGCTGTCTTCAATGCATTTATCAGAAATTAGAAAATGGAAATCTACTGTAAATCCCAGGCAAAGCAAAACCAGCCTCTCCAACATGCTTTCCAAAATTTCAAAATCTTCTAAAACACCATGACAGGCCTACAATGAAGAAATGAAAGCTCATTCTTACCTGAATATTGTATGAACCCGATTTTGCCTTGAAACAAAATGCTCCATGAGAGTCAGTTTCTGTTGTAACTAGTGATGCTTTGTCTTTGTCTTCAGGTATCATGGTTACCTTGTATTTACTGATCTGTTTGACTGTGTCAGGGAATCTAGTAACTGAGATGTGGCCACACACACTGAACCTGTTAAATAAAAGCCAGCCATCAGAACAAATATCTTGATTTGACAAAGATCATAAAAAACCACTTGTTTTAGAACTTCCTCAAAAAGTAAACCTCACTAGGTTGAGGTAATAACATCTGAATTGGAAAGGGTTTCTCCTGAAAGAGAGATTTGCAAGCAACTTGCTTCACCCTTCCCTGCCACCAACCCAATCACTTCAAGCCTTTTTTCTTTTTTTTTTTTTTTTTGTGCTAAGCAGGCAATGGATTTAGGATTTTGTGTTAGGTAGCCGACTGATTTCTCCCCTCAGGTTGTAAATAGTTTCAAACGTTTTGTGTCAAAAACTTTAAATATGATAGTAATCCAGTTATTCCAGTAATCCACTGGAACACATCCTTGGGACACCTACACTTGTGAAAGCACAAGATGACAAATTAGAAGGTGATAAGTTTGGTTTATTGCCTTCAAGAGCACAACATATTTAGTTACTGAATAAACTGTACCCCATCATTTAGCAGCACACAGGGTTTTTTCTAATTGGCTGGCTATGTCTGTACAAGCTGACTGCTATTTGACTCAGTAAATTCCAAGTTTTCACTTCTCCAGAACACTGCCACTATTTCCTTCTCTGAAGTCCTGGACACAGAATCACGACCCTTTCATCTTCCTTAGCTCATGCTGTATCTCCCACCACTGCACAGCCTTCACAGGCATCAAACAAGAAAAAAAAGAATTCAGGTAAGGCAACAAAGACCTTGAGAGTGAGCAGTAAAATGCAGAGGTTTGGTACAACACTGCATCAAACAGCTGTGTGACTCCAGATACCCTCCTTCTGTGCAAGAGTGAAGTGGTAGAAAGCTTCTCTATTGCTTTCTTGGTTTACATACCATTCTAAAATTCTTAATTTACCCATGCCTTAGTGTCTTCACTTGCAAGAGAGAGCTTATTAAGAGAATGTTCTAAACCTCAACTATTATTGAGAAAAATACAGTGCACAAAACACATACTCATGCTGCTCTATTCACCTTTAATTTCTTCAGCAGCATTTAGCTCCTGGCAACACAAGTCTGGGCATGGCATGGTAAAGGATCACCTTTTTTCACAGCCTCATCCACACATAAAATTGCGTTTTCATCCTGACACCAGTCCTTACCCTGTTGCAATGATGTTTGCCAGCTGAGGTGTATTTGGTGCAATCTTGACAGTAATAGTATCAAAAAACAGGTGTTCTTTCCTGGCATGAATTGTGTATGTACCTGTTGTTATGTTCTCAAGGCGGAAAGAGCCATCAGCTTTTGTCTTCACTGTAACAAAAAACAAGAGTTAAAAACCAGAGCATATGTTAACCTTATGTATCAACAGATCCAGGACATGCCCTGCTTTAAGCCATTTTTAATTCATATTATGCAACAGGTAGTTTTATGCTTTTTTACTAGATGAACCTTCATTTCTGTATTTCAAAGTACAATCTGGCATATGGTTGAAAGCAATTAAGAAATTTTCAACTGCCAAACTAATGAACATTTAATGCTCTCATCTAAACCAGACAATGCAATATTCATGAAATGCATGAAATCCACTTTAATATTTTAAATAAATTATAAAAAAAGCAGTACATTATCCTGAAGGGTTAATTCCACATCATACACTAGTCCTATACTTGAGTTTCATAAAGGCTTCCCTGCTGCAAGAAAGATCAAGAGCACTGCATACCTTTAATCTGATTGTTCAGAGTAACAGTGGCATCTGCAACTCCTTCTCCTTCAGGACCATTCAACACCCTGCCTGTGACAGAGAAACCCATCACATGGAAAACAGGCTGGAATGGGAAAAAAATTAACATAATTCTTTACTCAGGAAATGCAAACACATACCTACAGCAATCAATACCATTTTCTCCCCATGCACATAATAAAGGAAACTTATTTACAGCTCTAGGAAAAAAATGTACTAGGATAATCACTGTAAAAGTACAAACTGATCTCCAGGCATACTGTTCCCCTTAGCACAAAACACACATTCTCAGTTTATCTGCACTGCTGCAGCTCACAGTCACAGATCACAATGCCATTACACAAGGCACTCTGCAAATCAGAAAAACCTACAGGCCCTTCTCCACAGATGTGACAATTTCAACAAGGAAATATAGGCAACCTGGAAGACTACTACCTGTTTGCAACAGGGATATGAAAGTGAACACAGCAGACAGCTTTGCCCTATTTTGTTTCTTCCTAGTAAAAGGGACCGAAGAAACACAGCACAGTACTAGACACTGTCTTCTACCTGCTGTGCATAAACAAGTGCCTTCAACTTCTTACAAAGAAGTATTTCCACAATGCTGCTGTTTTCTTCTAAAATCAGTTAGGCTTTTACAGGAATGAGTGGCACAAAAGGATTATTCCCTCTGCAGGCTTTACCTCGATCTGTAAACTGTCATGCTCTACAAGGAAGTCCAATTTAGATGGAGCAACATCAAAGGTGATTCTCTCTCCCCTGTAGAATGGTATCTGAAAGAAGACACATGGCTTTGACTCCTAAGCTGTGATGACAGAATGGTTTTCCTCTACCATTTTCCATGTTCTTACTGATATCAGACACCTCTACCAAGGGTCAAATGAGCTGCAAACCTCCTGGAAAAAATTACTCACAGGCATGGAGACACAAATATCAGCAATATTTCAAGACTGATGGAAACCATGAAACTATCAGAAAAAAAAGAAAGTAACCCCCTAGTCAGAATACAGCATACTTGGAAGTGCAAGAGCTTACAGACTCTATGATTGCTAGAAGGATTAAAGAAATGGGAGAAGCCTGAATCCCATTTGTAGAGCACAGACTGAGAATGCAGGACCATCACTCCAGGCAGTGCACAGAGAACATGTTCCCACAACATCCAGATGTAAGAAAGAGAATGGGGAAAAAAAGGAAACAGCTTAAAGGAGAGGCGGTGGCAATAGCACACTCTGGTTTAGAAAATAAAAGTTAACAACCCAATCAATAGACAAGCAATTAATTTCTAGTTACTTACCACAGTGTATTTCCCACTTGGCAGAGAAAGAAAGCTGAAAGATCCATCTTCTTTTGATACAACATTGCACAAATAGGATAAGGACTCATCTCTTGATTGGAAGCCATCCACAGGAGAAATACTGCAGCCCACCACATCCTGTAGTAATAAATGCAATACGACTTTTTGTCTCAAAGAACACAGAAAATAACTGGGAGGGGGAGGAAGAGGGACACAGGACAGTTCAAAATACTCAACTGTGAATGGCTGATGGGAAGTATAAAACCATTTTAGAGGCAACGTTGAATGACATGACTTAAAATTCATGTATAGGTAAAACAGGAAAAAACAGCAAACAATCAACTTTATGGTAACAAGGACAGTACACTGGGAAATTCAACATCCCCAAAACTGTACCATGTGTCTTAACTGACTTCAGTTCTGTGGACAGGGTTAACACTGCAGAACAGAGCTCAGCTCTACATGACCAAATGTTTCACACTCATTTCTTAATGCACTTGTAAGGTGGCAACAGAAGCTGTGGAACTTTGTCTTCCCATCAAAAGGGCAAAGAGTAATAAAGGTGTCATGCTGAAGACAAATTACAGCTACTGTACAATGAATTATGAAATAATTCCATGGAGGTCACGTTGGATTGCAAGGACCTTGTTGGGGAAAAAGAAAATGAAATCACACAAAAGAACCAAACACAAAAATACAGTTTAAGAGATTGTACAAGCCAGTGAAGGACAGATGAGTATCAGGGCAATATGAACCTAGAAACTATTTGGTTCTTCTTATTTATAACCATCCTCCTATTGAAAAGGTACTGATCAACAATTACCTCTTTAGAGACTGAGGAAGAGAAAAGGAGAAACATGACCCCTTTCATGGGCTCTCCATCACTCCTCACAGACCCAGAGACATTGTAGCCTGCAACAATCAGGGGACTGGCAGCATAAGCATTGGAACTTGTCACCCGCACCACTGTCTTTGACTGAAATACAGAAACAAACATCAAAAGCAGGCATCAAGTCTCCTTTACAGCCCCTAAAGAACAATCAGAGACTGCACATTCAACAACAGGAACAGAAGCCAGAGCAGCAGAACTCAAAGATGGTCTCCAGACTACTCAAGGCACTGAGACACTAAAGCAAAGATACTTTCAAAAACATTGTTTTTCCTGCTTCACTGATTTAGGAAATTATCAGGATATCAGAGCTCCTCAAGAAAAAAGCAGTCTGGGAGAAGAATTTAAGCTACAATATTCTTAAAAAATGTACAGGATCAGAAGATGAAAAGCAAAAGCTCATTTGCCAGTCCTTCCCTGGCTGGCTTCACCATCTCCAAAGCGGGTCTATATGAAGTAGTTTCTTGACTACCTGAATTAGATGTAGAAAAACTCCAGTAACCCTGTTCACCCACAAAGCCCCTTCCTCACAATAACTGATCCAAGCAAGGTCTAGCAGATCCATCCTCTCTAAGTGGGCAAACCAGAGTTTCTGTAGGTTCTAACCTCTTTCAACATCCAGGTAGGATGCGATGCAAAGATTTCATATTCGCCAGGAAGCACTTTAAAGAAAGCAAACCTGCAAGACAAGAAAGGGATTATGTCTATTCAGGAACAGACACAAACATCTGTTCACAGAAAAACAATTCAGACTCTATTCACATATTAGAAAAAATACTTCAGAACTCTTACAGTCCCAGTCAGTATGGCAGAACTGAAAGGATCTTGTGCAAATGAACAGATGAATTAAGTATGCACCACCCACACTCACTTTCCTCCAGGTTGTGTAATAGTTGCTTGTATGTTCATGTCACTGCCAGCATTTCTCAGTACAACCTGAACTCCAGCAGGACCTAATGTCTGACCTTTGCTGAGAACCTGTCAAAATAAAAAGAAACAGAACTATAAATGAATGAAAATAATGTGTAGAGCTGAATTTGAATGTTTTATGAAGGTTGAATTAGCATAAGGTGGAATAAATAAAGATAAAGGAGTCTAACCTTTCCATTCACAGAAAATCCTGTGAAAACAAAGTTGATATCACCTCCCTTTGTGCAAATGTCATTAATGCCATCCACATGGATGTCTACACTGGTTGGTTCTGGAAGAGAAGAACGAAGAAACAGCATGATAGTGAGAGAGCAACCACAAAGAGACTGTGCTTCAGCTTTACACAGCTGCCACAGAAACGTATTTATCCAAGCATGGCAAGCATTGCTCTGGAAGCCTTTCTTCAGCAAAGGTAAAGCACTCCCAAATCCTGATTCTGAAAATCCTCTTTCCCTCCTCCCACTGCAGCCATTTTTGTCAAAAGCCCACACTCCTTCAAACCAGTTCAAGGGTTACTTTGTCAGTGTCTACTACCCAGCTTTACTTTCCCCTGGTACAGTAAGTACATGTCAGTTACTAAACTATGCAGTATGGTTTATAGGTTTGGAAAAGTGCTCCATTTTCCCTGCCAGCTGCAAGTTAGTGATAAGTCCCACACTGCAGACACAGTGTCCTATTGTAAGAAGACACACAACCACTTACCAAAACTCCACCCTAGGGGAGGCTCAATTTTAAGAATGAAATCCCCCTGAAAAATAAAAAGCAATAACTGTCTTCATTGATCTAAATTTAGCTAACAGATGAGAAAGAAAGTCAGAACACAAGCGTCATGCTGCAGAGAGGAACACAAGACTCAAGTGTACCAATATCCACCATTCTCCTTTCCTCCTGCTTATGACTCCCTGTTCAAAGCAGCAGCCATATCTACCCAGACAGGCTGGGATGCTGGGCTCACACCCAGCCAAGAGCAGAAATTAAGTATCACCAGGTTTATCCTGCTTCCAGCACAAACCTGGCTCACAGTCAAGCAGCTCAGTGCTACAGTGTTCGAATGTACCTCCACCTGCCCAACAGATGGGGTCTAAATCAGCCTTTGGCATTTCCACTGGGTCATGGTCATACTCGACCGTTCGACCCAAACACAGGACAAGAAAATTCCAATCCTTTTAAAAGCTCTGATCCAAAAGAGTATTAATTACATTAATACTTAAAAATTAGATATTCTCTTTGTATCGGAGAGCACCATGTATGTTCTGCCACATATATCCTAAACTTCATCCCTGGAAAGGCTCAAAGGCCTAGAATGAAATCACCAGGGTCAGAAAGTACATTACATTCTCAGATTGGGAAGGGAAGGAATTATTTGGTGGCTGGACTAGATGACCTTCAAAGGTGCCTTCCAACCCAAACCATTTTGTGTTTCTACTTCTGAACCCTAAGTTAACTAGCTCCTTAAAAGAGCAAAACACCTTGACCATCTCAGAGTAGCTTGCATTTAATTTTATTTGAATGTAAACACCTTTCCAGTCTAAGTAGACATCAAATTACTGACACATTCTGAATTTCGTGGATCGTTATTTCCTTAAAACATTTTTAATATCTGCAATTAACCACTCAGGTTATTTTCAAATTAGTCGTACCAAAACACCTTCTCATATACATTTATTTCCATAGGTAAAAAATCTGAAAGCTTTATCTGTACTCTGTAGGAGCCTACACTTGTGCAGTATTTGTACAGCTACAGCACACAGCTGCTGGCAGGAATTCAGGCTCCCAGTGCTGCAGACATTCCAATAAACAGCAAAAATGCAACACTGCTGCCACAGTTAGCTGGCTTTTCTCTTCATAATTAGCACTGGGAAACGAAGTCGTTGCTTTACAAAAAGAAACAGTTGAAACTTTGATCCAAACCAAACTAAGTGATGTCCTGCTTCAAATGTTTCATGGGGGTGTTGCTCTGAAATTTAATCTGCCGCAGATGCAGGTGGAGGCAGCTGCTGCCTCCAGCACAGAGCGGACAGCGCAGGAATTTGTGTCTTACCTTGTCATAGAGAGGAATCATGAAATACCCATTGTTCGGAGCACAGTCTGTCTGGTATTTCAGAGTGCCATGTTTTGTATATAACTTAATCTAAAAGAAACAAACAAAACAGACACAAAGATATTTTTTTAAAGGCGAGGAGCGCTAGAACCAGGCACTTTCTAAGGCAGTGCTGTACCGCAGCGGCAGCAGGACGCGGTTTATGGCAAGCAGGCTGCAGAGTGCCGCGGTGAAGAGCCGCAGCTCCACCGCCACCTGCGACCGCGGCCCGGGCAGGCAGCGGGGCAGGCGGGCGGCGGCGCCCACCTCGATCAGCGAGTAGTTGATCTCCACGTCGGACTTGACGAAGCCGCCGCAGCCCACGACGATGTCCTCGGAGCCCCGCGCCAGGGCGCAGCACAGCGCGCAGAGCAGCGCGGCCGCCGCCCGCGGCCGCATCCCCTCAGCGCCGCCGCCCGCAGCCAGCGCTGCCGGAAGGGCCGCGCCGGCCGCCACAGCGCCTCCTGCCGGCGCGGAGGCTCCGCGCGCCAACCCCGGCCCGACCCCGTGATGCCTCCAGCCGGGATTATCGGTCCCCAGCTGCCCCTTGGCACCCTTTGTCGGCGTAGCTAGTGACACGTCACTTCGACAAAGTAAATTATTTTCGATAAAAAAACCAAAGAATTCAATAAAGAAAATTCAATAAAGAAAAAAAATTCAAGCACTTTACGCAGTGCTTGAAACACAAAACTCTTTACTGAAAATAATTTTGTGTTTCAAGCACGGCGTAAAGCTGTATGTCATTTATATGAATATGCATCAGGAAGGTGGAGAATATGTCTTAGATGGGCGTGTTCATCTAAATTTTACTGTATTAAAAAATATTGGTGTTACCGCCTTGGCGTGCTGAATTTTTGGAAAGAATGAACACCATCCTTTCTAAAATACACTCTGAGTCTGTGCTTAGAGAGCTCCTGTAGTCGGCAGCCGCGGGGCCCCGCCGCGGAGCGCGCTGCCGCGGCCGGACTTTGGCCGCGGCGGGACGGGGCCGGACGGGGCCGGACGGGGCCGGACGGGCTCGGGCAGTCGCTCCTGCCTGGCGGGACCCGAGCTGTGCCCAGGGACGAAACTCCGGGGGTCCCGGGCCGAGCGCCCATGGGTGCGGGCACTGCGCTGTGCGGGCACCGGGACGGCCCCGCCGCGCCCCGGGTGAGTGAGCGGTGAGGGGAGGAGGGATGGAGGATGGAGGGATGGAGGATGGAGGATGGAGGGATGGAGGAAGCGCCGCCGCTCCGCCACCAGGGCGGCCGCGCTGCGGGCAGGGGCGGAGCGGCGCGGACTTTGCCTCCCCGGCCGGGCTCGCCCGAACGCCGAGCGGACCGGAGCGCTCAGCTACAGCAAATGTGGTGCTGCGAGTGAGGGCGCAGCCAGGACCCGCTGCACAGACACCTTTAAAAGGGCTCCACCGAGTCCATCGGGCCGGACTCGCGCAGATTTCCCTCCCCAGGGCTGATAAACTCCTGTAACAGTTTGCGAGGCGTTATCTCCTTCCTCTTTCCGCCATGAGATTCCTGTTCCTAGCCTTGCTCTGCATCATGTCCTTCACTTCTGCATTGTTTCTGTTTCAGGACTGGAACCAGACATGGCATACAAACATTCCAGGACTGACCTGGTGCTTCAAGAGCTCCATCATTGCCTGGATCCCTTGTGCCTATCTTTGGATCTGTTTTCCTTTCTACTACTGGTACCTTCGACACAGAAACAAAGGCTACATCAGGATGTCCCACATCTTCAAAGCCAAAATGGTAAGGGTAAAGCACAGGGTTTGGTCCTAAAATTATCTCAACATTGATGCAGAGTTTAACTTTCCTAAATTATTAATTTTTTCCTGATGATCCATCTTTGAGAGTTTATATATATATATATATATTTACTGCCTCAGGTCAGTATAAATCAAGCAAAGTTTTAGGAAGATATGTCATAGTATCTTCTCCCCTGTATTTCCATTTGATTCCCTGGCACTTCCCATAACATTCTCTGTCCCAAACTTGATCTTCCACCCCTCCAGTTTTACTGCCCAGGCAGCTTGGATCAGTCAGTTTGGTAGATTGTCCCAGCATTTCAGTTCATTCCAGTGTGTCTTTTCTGTCTCTGCCCCAGGTCCTTGGATTCATCCTGGTAATATTGTGTTTTTCTAATGTCTTCTTCATGGTGTGGGAGAAAAGCCAAGGAATCCCACGGACCCCAGCATTCTTCATTAGCCCTGCTGTGGTGGGAATCACAACGGTAATTCCTCCCTTGTTTGTCTGCACATGGCCAAGCTTAGCCCTCCTGGGACAGAGCTTGTATTTCCCACGGTTCTCACTGTCTCTGAGCACAAATTTGGCTGATGGGCAGTAGAAGGCTGGGGATACACTTTGTGCCTCTCTGCTGTGTGACACATCAGGGGGCTGGTGTTGGGGCAGAACCTGTGGGCAGAGCACACGTGGCAGGAGCTGAGGTTTCAGTAGGGTTTAGAAAGAGGACTCACAACAATGAGACAAGATTTCATTTCTCATAACCACAGTATGTGATTTAATATGGTTTAGAGTGAAATGCGATTTCTGTTCAATAAATAAGTGCCTATTCTCCCCTTCTATCATTGCACCTTCATAGCCCTTCTATCATTGCACCTTCCAGCCTGTTGGCCCAATTGTAATTTTATTACTTACCTTCTCTGTAGACATTCTTGAGTGCAAAACTGCACACAAAGCTTTCAGTGTTAGCCTCTTAGGAACAATACTGCAACTCTGAACATCTTGAAATGTTTTGGCAAGAAGCTAACTGAGTTTTCTCTACTGTATTCATTAATTTGATAACAATGTTTGGCATTCCATTATCAGGTATTTATTTGGACAAATTTGTACTTCCTCACAGGTCCTTGCCTTGTTCCTTACCCAAGCAGAAAGAATGATGGGCATCCAGTCTTCAGGGGTCCTATTGATTTACTGGCTTCTCTCATTTGTGGCTGCACTTGTGATGTTCAGTTCCAAAATTCAGCATGCCCTGGAAAGAGTAAGTGAGATCACATACCTTTAATATGCAGACTACAGAGTCTCTAAACAACAGGGCTGGTTTTGTCCCATTGACTGCAAGGGGGAGAATCAATTTCCTCTTTTAAAATATGTGCTGAGAAAAATGGCTCATGACACTTTATATTTGTGGTGGATGTTTATTTGCAGAGGTAGAACAGGAGAAGCTCTTTCTCTGCTGGTTAAACATGAAGGTTCTCACCTAATTTTCACCAGTATCCTGTTCCTTAGGGCTTCCTGGAAGACCATTTCCACCATGTTACAACTTACCTTTATGCTGGCCTGGTGCTAGGAGAACTTGTGTTGTTCTGCTTAGTTGATCACCCTCCCTTCTTCTCTAAAGCTGACAACAATCCTGTAAGTATAAGGTAGCTTTTCCTAATGCTTTGCTTCATTGCTGAAACAGGATTTTAAATATATGGGGATACACAGGTACATCAGTATCTGGGTGATGTAAGATGCATCATTCTCTAAAAAAGCTGACAATTTTAAAAGGTAACTGGCAGAATTGAGGGTAATAGTGCTCTGTCTCTTTATGTAAGTTTTTCAAAACTAAAAACCTATCCATATTCATATTTCCTGTCACTGAAACCAGTGGATATTGGATATTGCTTCCCCTAGTGCTGCTCTCCTGGGCTGCAGTACTCAGTTGGTGATATGAGTATGGAAAAGGTCTATGCTTAAGAAAATAAATGTCTTTGGGTATGAAGAATTATATTCTTTGTTCTTCCATCTGAGACATTATGCAAAGTCAAATTCTCCAAGATGTCCCAATCCCAGTGAACCTCCACAATACACTTACTCTGGTTCAATGAATGGGGAGGGGATAACTCTGATTGCTTTTCCTGGGGAAGCACAGAAGGGAACTATTTTCATCTGACACATGCCCTTTTCTATATATAAATATCACACGTGTTTTCTCTCCCATCAGAATCAGTGCCCTGAAGCCAGCAGCTCTTTTCTTTCCAAAATCACATACTGGTGGTTCTCTGGGTAAGAAAACAGAAGATGTGGTTTTGCTACAATATCAGTAAAAAGCAGCAGCATCAGAGATCAGAGAGTGTAGATGGCAGCCATCTCAGGACATATCTCAGCTTCTGAGTTAGCTAATAGAGTGAGAATTTAAATAATTTCTTTAAATTATTTCTCTTGTGAGGTATTCTCACAAGATCAAATTATAAAAATATAATTTACTTTTCTCCAAATAGTTTAAAATGCAAATTTGTGATTCTAGATAATGCTCTTCTGCCTCCCAACTACCCCTTCAGTGCCCTCCCAATCTTGAAACAGATCTCATCAATCTCAAAAGATCACTGTACACCAACCACAGCCCTCTCTGCCTGCTAGACCTTGATCCCATCTGCCTTTCATGGAGCCCAGAGAAAGTTAAACTGAACTTTTTTCTCCACTACCCAAGACTCTCAGTATGGACTAGAAATTAGGGCTGGCTTGCAAATCCTCACTGTGCTGACAGAAGATAGCCTAGGGATGCAAAGCAAGGCTGCTGCTCCTGGGCATTCTTGTTTATTGTGGGACAGGACTTTCCTCAGTGCTGTTGTGATACCAGTGCTGTGTGCTCTCTGTGTGCACTGCCTTGATGCCCCTGTGCTCTGAAAGTGTCACACGCAGCACAGATCCTGTGTGCTCCCCTGACTGCAGTCTGTGTCCTCCAGGCTCCTCTGGAAAGGCTCTCAGCAGGCCTTGGGGGTGGATGACTTGTGGCCAGTGAGGAAACAGGACTCCTCTGAAGAAATTGTTGCCTGGGCAGAAAGAGAGTGGAAGAAGTGTCACAGCAGAACCCAGCAGTGAGTATTTGATCTGGAGAGCACATCATGGGCTCAGCTGGGCTGTTCTAGGTGATCTAAGCACATACACTCACAGGTACTGGTGTGTGAGTCCCTTTGTGCAAAATCTGATTTTAAGTGTTAAAATCTGTTGGAGAACATCCTTCCACTCCTGGAAGCACAGAACTAACTTTCTGTGAGAGCATTCAGTTTTTTATGAGCTTTTATACTGGACATAGTATGAGACCCCATGTGAGGTATTTAGTGATTTTTTTTTTGAAGATACAAAATTCCCAAGCTTTCTCCAGTTATAACTTTCTCATTGTTTCTTCCTTCAGGAAAATGGAATCTTCTACATTTAAAAAGGGTCAGAAATCTGAAACTGGTACAGCAGAAGCTGAAGAAACAGAGGCTCTACTGCAATCAAAGCACAGTCAGAGCAGGCCCTTACTGAGAATGTTTTGGGGCATGTTTGGAACTTACTTCCTTCTCAGCACTGTCTGCTTAGTTATCTGTGATGTCTTCTTGTTCTCCACCCCAAAGGTACTGAGGTATGTGCACATTTATGATGTATTTCTCCCACATGTACAAGATGGCTGTGGGCATGAGCTCAGATGTTATGTCAGCACCCACAGAC